GAATGTTCCTCGAACCAATCCATGACGATTCGACCCTTATGACATGGTGTATTATCCTGTTGGTAAACACCATCCCCCGCAGGAAAAGCTGGTGCCATGAATGGTCTGCAACTATGTTCAAGTAGCTTACAGACGTCAGGGATTGTTCTATGAGGATTATGGGTCCTAATGTGCCCTATGAAAACATTGTTCCCGGGCGAGAAACCATGAAAACCCGGGTGAGTCCACTGTTATAGAGGGAGGGTGGTCATAATGTAATGGCTCTTCGGTGTAACTCGAAACCCATTTGTACTTTCGTTCTGAAATTTTGACAGCGATTGAAAAGGTGGATTTTAGCCCATGATCAAAAAAATCCTTTAAAAAATTCAAATAGTTTGCTCGAAAGAAGAAAAATGAAAATATAACTTTTTCATTGGTTTAGAATAAGTCATTGATATAAATTATACTGTAAATGATTCTGTTGCTTCAAATATTTAAAAGTTGATATCAGTGGTGTTTATTAGCTTATAGCTCTAATCAGTCAAAAAAGAAATTTTCCAAGCTCTGTAATATTAAATTATTTTTTATTCGTTAAATCAGGCAAACTCAAGAATCAACGTGAGTGGCACGTGAGAGCTACTGCATCAAATTAGTATTCCGTGTTTCTATAAAACTGCATGTTTTAAAATCATATTATATCATATATAATATATCATAACTGCATATTTAGTAATTAAAATAAAAAATCCCCGCATATTCATCAGCACCAATAATAATTAGTTAATTTTGCTGATAGATATCACTAGTATTAGGATAATTGGTGCTATTTTAATACGTACCAAATATACTAATGTAGATGTGAAGGTATTTCCTTCAAGTATCGTGATAATTGGTTTTTACGGCCCCCAAAAATGATAAGTACCAGAAAAAATTACTTGATTGTTGTAAATATTGACTACCATGAACTAGCATCAAGCAATAATTTCAAATAATACTGAATATAGGTGAGATAGTTTGATAGGATGAACTTCTTATAAAATTAAACTAATGACGCAAAACCTCCTAAAAATGTTGAAATTATTTTAGCTTTATTAATTGCGTTTTAATAAGTCTTTCAGTTTTTTTAATATGTCTTTTAGTTAGGGTTTGTCAATTCCGAATTATTTATTCTTTGATTTATTTTTACTTCGTTCGAAGAACAATGATAGTTTTTAATTGAAAAAGTTTTTTACTTAAGCTTTTCCTTTTAAAATATTAATATGCAGCAATGGTAAAAATTCTTATTAAAGATTATTAAGCTTTCCATTTCTTTTTTTGAAAAATAACATGAATTTAATAAAAAGTTTTTATTAAAATAATTAATATTGAGCTTCTCTCATATATATTTTACTAATTTATACGATTTCTTAAAATTTACTTTAGTTTATGAAGTGAAACTAATATTCTGAACTGTTTTAGTTTGTTATATTTAAGTTTCTTATTGTAGTAGTTTTATAATTCTACTTATTTGGTTTTTTTTTATCTGTGTTTAAATATTTTTTCTTTGTAAAATAATGCATTTTGTAAAATCTCTTATTTGGGCAAGGAATTAATTGAAATTGTTGCTTCATTTGAGCTAAGTTTATGATAATGATTTCCGGTAAGCTGATTCAACTTTTTAGTTAAACAAGAAAGAAGAAGGAAATTTGAAAAAATCGCTTAATTTGTTGTAAACTGACCACTGCATGATTCAGTCCGTCTCTTTACTGCCTCGATGTTGCAAAATCTATTCCAATAGCCCTCTACTGTTAACATTTTTCATCACTTACTCATCATCAAATTCAAATTTTTATTTTTTAATGTAAGATAATATTTCAAAATATTCAAAGAATAATTAATCTTACCCAGAGAGTTTTTAATCATTGTAAAATATTGATATGTTTCTGACAGTAAATGTGGATATTCTTTGCTTAAAATATTGCAATAAAGAACAACTCATGTAAATTCATAAGTTTTCCCAGTTTATTTTTATTCCTCAGAAGCTGTAAAAATATCAAAACCTTCCCCTTACTCAAAATGTAACAAGGTACTATATAAAGATGTTATTTCAAAAGTCATCTACTAAATTGAAAAATCATCATATTTCGTCATCACTACATACTGAAAAGAAAAAAGAAATTTGTTGCAGACGATATTTTGATACAACCATATCGCGTAAATAACCAACAACTAAACTGATCTTTCAAAACATCGACAACAGCAACATTTGGATATAAAAATAAAAAGTAGGATATAAACACAAGGAAAAAGCGCGATATCCATGCATAAACTATAAATCTAACCACCTTGAAGTGTACTGCCACCAAGAGGGCACTTTGAAATTGGATAGCTTTAGCCTTTCGATAGAAAAAAAAGAAGAAATCGCAATCGTTTGCTTTTCTGAGTTATTGAAGCCATTTTCGCGGAAAACGCGAGATGAGAAAACATTTTTCCCCTTTCACAAAATACTAGGCACCTGTTTTCGTCATCCGCCATAGAATGCAGACGATATAAGAAGATTGCCATTTCTTTTATTAGTTGACGTTCTTCCTTCCCGATATGCATGAATAGAATATGCTTTTATTTTGGATATATTTGATGAATAAGATGTTAGACCTTATTTTTAGAGATGCTCTTTCTGCAATTTACCTCTAGAAGTTTCTGAATGAATATTTATTGTCTGCATTCTTTAAAATAATAATCTCTCAATAAATAAGAATTTAATTTCACAGTTTGATTTTTTTTTTAAATTCAAATTAATTGTAAATTAGGAAAACAAATGACTGCAAAGATATTAAACTTCTCTCATAAAAGAAAAGAAATACAGATAAGATTATTCGAGAAGCTAATAAATACCTAATGCAGTCTTTTAAAGCATCGTTTTTTAAATTACTATTTATCAATAACTTATAGTGATGTGTTACAGCAAGTTAATAGGGAGTTAGATCTGAGTCTATTTTGAAATTTATTTAGTAGGAGGAGTGTTAACACGGTTTGTTTGACAATTTCCTGCCTGGCATCTAGATTCAGCGGAGTGCCAACTTGTGTTAATGTCTGTTTTCACTGGTTACGTACAATATGAATTGCTACATACAATCACACGTGCTCCTGCTTCTTACACTGCGAGCGTTCAAGGATATTTGTACCTAGCAGTTTGACTGATCGCTAGTTTTTACTCGGCGATTCGCGAATTCTCAGTATTACCTAGGCACTGTCCACCAGAAAATCACCAGTTCTCTGACGATTTTGGACCTAATTGACCTACATTTGTTCGGATTCAAGGGCGTCCCATTCAAAATTTTACCCACGCTGGCAGTTGAAACAATCAATTAACAACAACCACAGTTCAAGCTATATATAGAGTTGTTTAGAAGCAGCGTTACACGATTTGAATAGCATTACTTTATCCTAATCCCACTCGATGCTTATTCAATGTTATTCAATTTCCTAAGTCATCAGAAAACTAGGGTGTCCCAGGTCAGCAGTATTTGGACAAGAGAATACCGGGAATTAACCCTCAGACTGCTCATCCCGCGATTTCCACGGGCATGTGTTTTTCTTCCTTTATTGGTGAGCTCATCCCGTTTATTCCCCGTTTCAGCGGTATTAGACGTTTAATTTACGTTTGGATCAACAGATGTCATTAGTTGTTCACTAAATTGCCGTATTTGAAAGCGCGTAGTGTAAAGCGATTTCGTAAGGGTGGAAAACGCGTAGTGTAAAGCAAATTTTTAAAGCGGCTTCGGACCAAAAATGGAGTAGTTGTAGGGTTAACGAATAGAGGGGAAACAAGCGATTATTGAACTAGCTGTAAAGGAAATATAAACGTAAACGAGTGTGATGTATGTAGCAAAACGTGTTTTATGTAACCAGTGAAGCCATTAGCTGAAATTGGTACCAAGCTAAATAAGAAAAACAGTCGTCAGAAAAAAGACGTCTAACGCCAATTTTACCGCATGTTTTTCGGAATTATAATAACTTGCTGTCCCTAATTGTGTTAGAGGGAGCGAAAAACGTGAGAATTTTTTCATAATGGATTAGTCAAGCGAGAATACCGCTTAAAAAAATTTAGGTACACCACTCATTAAAATGAAAGAAAACAATAATTTTAAATTAGAAACTTTAAATAAACTTAAGAACTTAAGTTTCTGGGCAATTTCATATGTGACGGAATGACATTTTGACTTGCAAAATAACAATTNCGACTATACATTCCTATACAATAAATCATTGTTACAATGTCCTGTACCTACCATTAAAGTTTGTACCATGAATTCGGGACCACCCTGTATAATAAGAAATTTTTGAATTCTAATTATATACATCAAATATGATTATTATAAAAAACTTAAACATTGTTTCTACATGATAGGTACGATTTTAAGCATTCGGTTCATAGCCTATTGATTACTTTTTAGTTATTTAACAGGCTTGTTATTTATATTTTAAAAATTATTATGAAATATACAATATATGAATAAGCAATGTATGAATATGAGAATTTAGTTGAAGTAGCATATAATAACTATAAACTAATTTAAGGTTCTATATACGAATATTCTATTGATCATAAGAAAGAATAAATTATAGAACTAAAATTAAAACATGTTTAAAGCAATATATGTATTGCTATTTTTAAAAAGTTTGACTTTTTCTATGCAATCTAGATTGTGTGTAAAATATTACTATCACCTTAAAAAAATTTTAGTCTTATAAATCGATTGAAATAAATATTTAAAAGAGGTACGTACTTTAATTATTTAATGTAATATTGGAAGAGCTATTTAAATTGCTATTTAAAAATACTTTTAACTAGCTTAATTAATAATGTATCTTGCCTTAAAATTTTTATTAATTATTGTTGTTAATTAGTTATTGTTGATAATTAATTATGTTGCTAATTAACTATTGTAGAATAACAATTTGCATTGTTATGACGTGATTAGTACACTGAACTAAACGTTCAATTATTAACGTTAATCTCTCTTTTTTTTATCTTTCAGATGTAATGTGTTTAAAACTTAGAGAAATTGTAGTGCCGGCTGTCGTCATCAAAGGAGATTCCGTGTGGCTTAACTGCACATATGACTTGGGGAACGAGACACTCTATTCCATCAAATGGCACAAGAACAATGTTGAGTTTTACAGATATCTTCCAGAAGACAGACCTCCTGGCCAGAAATACGATCTTAATGGTATTCATCTCGATGTAAGTAATAACGTCGGAAATACACATTAAAAAAAAGAAAAATTTCGAAATTTCGTCACAGTGAGAAAATTCCTTAGCTTGATTTGTTTGAGGAAGCAAATTTTGCAAAAAACATTGGGATTAAGACTGCATATTGATGAAGAAAACATAAAGTAGAATTAAAAAGGTTTGCGTTATTGTTAAGAATTGGATTCAGAAAACCTTGCTTCACAAGTACGTTCACGAGTATGCGCTGATTCCTGTACCACCTTGCCATAACGAGTTAAGGGTTTTAAAACACACAAAAAAGGGTTAAGGTGAGATTCAAATCTTTTGCCACCACGTTTCAGAGAGTTAATAGTTCAGAGAGCGATATCACTTGACCGCGGAACTCCATAACAATATTCAGTGAGCGTGTAGATACGTTGATCAAATTAGGAAGGGATTGAGGATGCATAGTATCAGTTCTCGTCTCATCGTAAAGTTCTTCGCGTGCAGGTCGTCAGGCTTCCAAAGCGAATGAGTCACCCCCTTTACAGAAAAAGGCATGCCATCAAATAGTGATGACATGTTTTCGGATCATCCTCAGGGATTTTTCCCAGACAGTCACTAATAGCCCATTGTTCAGCTCTAGGGCTACGTAAATAAAGTATTGCTACTACCATAATACAGCAATACAGCAGCTATATAATTCTTCTTGTAATTAAAAATTTAATCCTTGCATGTGGAGAGCCTTGAAAAACTAAATTCAAATACTTTTTAAACTGCAATTACTTACAAAATTACTACAGCTGACATTCAATTAAAAAAATTGAAACATAATGGCCATTTAAAGTCCAACACAATAGACAAAACTTATTTTTTTCAGCCTGTCTTATTTTTTAAAAAATAATTTAAGCATACTTACAATAAAGCTTATTTGAAATTTTGCTGGAGTAAATCATTTCAAAATTTTAATGCTAATAGGACGCTAAAACGCTATAACACAAACTATAATGTTTCAAATATTGATCGTTTTTTTTCTCCAAAATATGTAGGTCTTATATTTAAAAAAATATATATTCATCATTTAAAACTTCCCAGTTTATTCTTAGTTTGTCTGAAATCTGGTTGAAAAAGCATTTCTCATGAAATGTTTTCCGCAGTATAACGACCTCATAAATAAAGCTTTGCAGAAATCATGTTGAATGTCAATAGGATACTAATGCGTTAAAAGATGTACAAGGGGTGACATTAAATTAAAAAACGAAAAAAATAAGAGTTAAGACTGAAAAGGATAACAATAGCAGGTAGTGGAGGAAAAGTTTCATCATTTTCATGTGTAGTTATTATACACACAAGAGAACTTGTATAAAGAAGATTTATTGATTGTTTTTCAGCTTGATCGAACTGATCGAGGAAATATCTTCATGCCCTACACAGACGTAGACTCTGAAGGTATCTACAGATGTGAAGTCTCTACAGAAGCACCAAATTTCCAGACAGTCAAAGCAGAGAGAGAAATGCGAATATACGGTAATATTACGATGTAAATAATTCTACTCCTTTATATTATTACTGTTAATCTTTTTTCAGCTTTTTCTTAACTCTATTAATCAATGTACCTTGGCTTGTGCAACTTTCACAGGATGAAACGAAAGAATCAAAACTGGAGTATCATTTTAAAACTGTCTGGAAAAACTAACTTACAACTACTTATGATGACAAATTAAACATTGCTGTGATGTAAAGAGATAAAGAGAAATCTTACCTCATTTCGAGTATTTAGAGTTATAATCAGAACTGAAATTTTTGGCCTAACGCCAATACTATTTTCTGACCATTACAAGCTTGCCAAATAGAAATCATTATCCATCGAAAGCTTGGATACTTTTAGTCTAGTTAGAGTGTTAGAGCCTCAAATTTAGCTCAGGGATTGCAGACAATACAAGCCTCGCGTATTTTCTCAGTAAAATTTAATTACAAATGATGCTGTGCCTGATGCTAATACTATTCTCTGATCTTTACTACTAAATGTTATTGCCATATAGAATTCATCGTCCATCGAAAGTTTGAACATGTTCAATCTAACTAGGCTGTTAGAATCTCTACTTCAGCTCTGAGATTTCCTCGAGTGTTTCCTGATCAGCAAGAGTATAATTGCAAATGATGCTGTGTCTCGTGCCAATATTTTTTTTTCCGATTGTTAATGGTATTTTTTTTACTATTGAAATTCGTCGTCTATCGACAGCTTGGACATTTTCAGTCTAGTTAGAGTGTTAGAATCTCAAATTTATCTCTGGGATTGCTGACAATACTAGCCTTACGTATTTCCTTACTGCTGCATGTAAAATTTATTTGCAAGTGATGCTGTGCCTGATACCAACACTATTTTCTAATCATTACAAGAGAATTTTATAGCATAGAAATTATCGTATATCCATGTCGACCACTTTTTGACCAGCTAGAGTAAGCAAGCCTCAATTTTATCTCAGTGATTGCCGATTATACAAGTTTCAATTTTTTCCTGACCACTAAGTAAAATTTATAAATTTAACCCCTTCCTTCTCGCTCCCGTGAAAATGACGGGGTGAGGTTTCGTCCTCCATTTCTCGCTCCCTTGAAATTTCCGGGCTGGAGTGTTCAGTAGTAACATTCAAATAAGTATAAAACTAATTCATTTCTTTTGCCCGCAAACATTTTATTTCTCATTTTACACACCAGATGGCAGGACCAGGACATACATAAGGTAATTGTAGATAGTTAGTTTATTTTAAACTAGATATCAGCACAAAATGTTTGGATGTCAGAAAGCAAACAGACACTTTTATGACCGTTTCCTTGAAAATTAACCGATCGCTAAGGGGTTAATTTATATAAAAGTTTTGATTGATTTCTGACATTCTAATTCAGTGTTGACTGAAGCTTTGTGCTTGATCTCAATATAGGCAACTGTTTCCTTAATTGGAAATAAATTAATGCAAAATATCTCATCTCTTGACATTTTGATCGATTTTTAACACATAACAAATCAGACACTGAACTAAAAAGAAAGTTATAGAATGAAACCTTTTAAACAAAATTACGTTTTTTAAGTGGACTAAGAATCAGAAAAATTTTGTTTTCTTTCACTTAATATTAATAATGTTGGGTACATACTTCAATCATAAATTTCTATCACCACCTAAAATCCAACGACGTTTTTCAAAATGCAAAAAGTGCGGTGGTATGTGTTTCGATGCAGCGTAATTTTTACTTTTTGGTATGGGATTAATAGATTTATTCTATATTCAACTTGAAAAACGCAAGTTTTGACATTTTTATTCCATTTAAACTTATTTAGTTAAGTTATGGTTGAACAAATTACAGAAATACAATCAGCATCAATGGTTGATTTGACTCATAAAAAAGTTAGTGTAGGTTTTTTCTCCATTTTTTAGACCACTTGAAGAATGCAGTTTTTAAAATTTTTGCTTTATTAAGTTAAAATTAAATGAATTACAGAAAATTAATCAATAAAATGGCTGATTTTACTCATAAGTAAAGTTAGGAACGTTTTGTTACTACGGTAATATAGGTTTAATCTGATAACTAGACTAGAGTGTCGGTCCCTTAACAGGTTGGTGCTTTTGTAAGTATTTCTAGTTTTTAATATTTCATTTTACAAACGTAAAAAAGTAACGAGTTATTATTTTATATTTTATCTATCTGTATATAGATACAAATAATTGAACAAACATTCATTGCTTTCTAAATTGCAATTGATTCTTTACATTGTAGAGTTGAAATAATATTTACTTTCAGATACATTTTCCTCGGAGAAATGGAACAAAAAAAGTTTTCAATCAATTTCGATATATTAGAAGACCCGTTTTGTAAAACAATACTGCAAGATAATATCAGTATAAAGATTTTTTTTTATTTTTGTTTGTCAAAGCAAAAATATGGTTGAAATAGGAAACATCCATTAAAAAAATATTAGTCGTTTAAATATCTTGCTGAACGTTTTATTTTTCCTTTAAAAATAATTGTTGAAATTCAATTATACAGAAATATAAAACAATATTTTTGAGTAAAACAATTGGAAATAATCAGTTGAAATATCATGTTACTTGAGAAAAGATGATGGTTACTGAGTCTTTAAAACTTTATAAAATTGTTTCATTTTATTAAAAAAAATCGGTTTTTGTCTTCATTTTCTTGGTTTATAAATTTATGTTAGTCTACAAAGAGAGAATATAGACTTCAACGAATATCATTTAATTGCAGGACATTCGCTTTAATGAATGTCATGGCAAACATCATTTAACTTCTATTACTATGACCACCGTTTGTCACTCTTCTATTTAATGTTAGTTGCACATTTATTTTCCTTTCTAATGTAAAATATTCATTTTTTATTTAATACACCAACTGATACCTAATAATGATTCTCGGTATCGCAAGTGGGTAAGTAAATTGGAAAATGAGTGGGTGATTGAATGAAGTGAAGAATTGAATTAAGTGAAGGACTGTATGAAGTGAAGAATTGAATGAAGTGAAGGATTGAATGAAGTGAAGAATTGAATGAAGTGAAAGATTGAATGAAGTGAAGGATTGAATGAAGTGAAAGATTGAATACATTAATCATCGAATCAGTGATTCAGTGTTTTATTGTATCAGTTACCGTAACTTAACTATTTTGTTAAAGATAGATTTTTAAGTAACTCTTCAAAATTTAAAGAATTTTGTTGCAATTCTTACGAAAATGAAATTTTTTGATTAACAATTTAATCTTACCATATACCAGTAAAATTATCTTCTCTCTAATAGGTATTTGTAACAGTGTGACGCATTATTATGCTGACAGTGAAATTTTCGACATTACAAGTACCTTAAGGTCTCTCACTCTTAGAAATAAATCTCTCACTTTTGACTATACAGCAATCCTTCAGCTGAATTTAATTAGTTTGAAGAATCATTTCATCACGAAATCACGTTATTTATGATGAAACGCGAAGGTCTCTCACTCTTAGAAATAAATCTTTCACTTTTGACTATACAGCAATCCTTCAACTGAATTTAATTAGTTTGAAGAATCATTTCGTCACGAAATCACGTTATTTATGATGAAACGCGAATTCTCAAATGTATGACGAAAATGTTTCCTTAACTCAAAACCTGATCGCAGTGCATTGTGTGTGATTGTTAACTAGAATGACGAACAATTCAAAGTGACGAAACAATTCAACCAGCTTATGGTGGTGAAAAAGTTACCCCTGTACCAGAAAGATCTTGGGTTGGAATCCCAGCATGGGTATAATTTATCCCATTGTTCAGTCTGTTCTTCTTGTGTTATTGGGGTGACTGATACACCTATATGATGCCCACGATAAAGTGATTATTGGAAAAGTTAGATACATTAAACATTACGAGTTTTTTTTCTATTTTTCGTTCTTTGAAAAACAATAGAATGATGAAATATCTCTTTAATATTAGCGAAATTGATTTTTTTAAAGAAGTGACTATAGTTATTTCGCCCTTTTGACGAAATTTCTCATTTTAGCATGTACCGGGAAACGGTTTCGTTAAAAACAAAGAAAGTTTCGTGATATTTGAGTATCCGTTTTTTACAGTGTGAAAGATATTAAGTAACTTGTTATTTTCAACACAGTTCTAAAAATATAGCTGTTAAAATTTAAACTTTCTTTGCGTTAATACAACCATCAAGGTTACCTTAAATCACAGTTATCTCTATTCATATAAAAATTAAATCTATAAGCTCATTGTTCCCCTTTCATCACTTCATAAAAAATACATTAATATTTTCTGAACAAATGGCACTTTTTATCGCTTCGAAAAGTACTTAAACAATTTTAGTTAATGATACATTTTGGAGATTACAATTTTTAAAAAAAAAAATCACATTTTTAATTAGAGGATATTTTATAAATGCAGAAATAATGAGGCTGAGGGAAAATATTTTTACCCAGGGGAAAACTATAAAAACGTTATACCTAACCTTTTCTGACCTGGCTGAAAAGACTGGATGATGAGAATTTTTTATCTAACAAATGCTGAGCTTAAAGCTCATAATGGATCTTCCTGTTCGTATCTAATGCATAAAATCTTTTTTAAAACTCCTCCTGTTCTATAATTGGATGAGGTTTAAAACGGTGTATGTGCCTTTATTAAAAGAAGACTAAAGAGAAAATGTAGATAATTTTTAAAAAGCTAGATACTCGGGCAGCTTTTGTTCTGAGATAGGTTGGAGAAAACATTCCATGAATTTATTTTACACCATTATCATAATAAGGTAATTTGGAGAAAACATATTTTATTGCGCGAAATAAAGCACATTTAAAAACATTTTCTGTTTTTGAATCAAAACATTGTTTTCATTTCTGCGAAATAAAAATTACGTGAGTTACCTATGCTATTTTCAATTTATTCAAACAATTCATTTAGATCATTTTTTTTCAAATCAGAAGCTGTTACTTAAGTCGTTTCTAAATCTAGTAATTAAAATTTCTATCACTGAACAGAGCCTTAGTTTA